GTCTTTCCCCCCCCCCCCCCCCCCATATTCTTTGGCCTTGCTCGCTTTCAGGGGCTCTTAACCCTTTCTTCCCCGGGCGCAGGCGGCGGCTCCCGGGAGAACTGGGCTCCTGACTCGGGGTGCAGCGGTGGTCCCTTTCAGTCCTCGGGGGCCGCCCGCACCCCCCGCCTCTTCAATCCGCCCCTGCCCAGCCCGGAGGCCTCTCCCAGCCGGTCCACGCTCCCGGCTCTCTCAGTCTCAGGGGCCCAGACCAGCCCAAATTTCCCCGAGAGCAATTAGAACCGGCACGAGGCTTCGCGGGTGCACTCGGTCTGGTTTACAAGCGCCACCCTGAAGCGTGGAGCAGACAATGGCGCTGGGGGCAACAGTGACCTCCGCGCCCCCTCCCCCTCCAAAGAGAAGCTTTGCTCCCTTACTCATCCCGCTGGGTGACAGGTTATTTTCCCCACTGCCCTTCTCCCTTTCTAGAATCAGTTCTTTTCTCACAAATCCACTGCTTTTTAATCAGTTCTAATTTGTGGTTGTGGTTATTGAAAGATGTCATCGGTGATGAGAATCCATGTGCACGCCTTGGTTCGGGGCTGTCCCCTTCCCTTGCGCGGATTCCCTCTCCGTTTCTCACTATTCTGTTCAGGGAGCAGGTGACTGCAGCGACTTGGTTCCAATAAAATCGAAAGTAAACGTCTTCCGTGGAAAGCCCCGGCTGTAAATTCGAAATATTTATGCTAATTTCCCATTGTATGGAAAAGGCTCCTGCTCAAAGCGTTGAGCCCGGCGGATGATTTAAAAAGCGAAAGCTGTGTACACAGCGCTAAGCGTTTGAAGTTGTTTAACCATTGTGTGGCCAGAAGTAAGAGTGACACGGCAGGAGAAAGTCTGGGGGAGAGCGGAGCTCGGTGGGGGTGAGCCAGGGCAACAGAAGCTGAAACTACAACTGCCTCTTGCGCCGCTCCTGCCAGCGCATCCAGGAGTCTATGGAGTGTGCATGAGGGGAGAGGGCGCCAGCCGAAAGTCCACACTGGCGGCGAGGGGCGGGGGGCGGGGGCTGCAAGATCTCCTTTCTCGGTCTAGGCTCTTATTTCCCATCCCTTGTCTCTGGCCAGTGACTCTCAGCGGCTGATTTCCTCTACATCCACGTCCCTGGCCCTGACGAAAGTGCTGGTGGACAAGCATCTACTGAACAAAGACTGGGGGTTATAGACAGCATCCACCTTAGAGAGAAGTGGGACCATGATGGGGCTAGTGCTAGGGAAGGAATACCGAGTCCTTTTCCTTTTGCCCAGCGGCCCCTGCAAGGGGCCCGGGTCCTCCTGCTTCCAGACTCAGGGAGAGGGAAAGAGATTCCACAGGTGGAAATCGGAGGCCGGCTGTAGGGATGCCTTCAGGGTTCACAGCGCTGAACTGAGCGCACTGAGTGGAGGCAGGATGATTTTGGGGGTACGGGTGATATGTGAGAAGGAAGGGGATGGAGACCAAGTGCGCACAGAAGATAGGGGTGCGCGCCCATGGAGATCTGTGGAAGCAAGGCAGCTGGGGGAAGGCGTGCAAAACCCATAAGATAAACGGGCCCATCGCCAATACAAAGCCAAAGGGGAGTAAGGAATAAAGAGGGAAAAAAGAATATTAAATCGCAGGAGAATGAGAAAATAAACCTGCAAAAGGGAGAGGAGGGGGTGAGGGCGCCTGTTGCGGCGTGGGTGGGGTTGACAAGAATAGAGTACATTATGCAGTTCATTTAGTTAACAAGTGAAATAATGAGGAAGCGTGCAGAGTGAATGCCAAGAGAAAAGGCACAAAAACCCTATTGAGAGGCCCGGGCCGCTCCTGGCGTAGCCCATCACATGGCAATAGTCCTATTTAAGCAGCGCCGCCGGCGCCTTTCAGCACCACTAGCTCTGGCCAGCACCCCGCGCTCTCTGGGCGGCGCCCACTGCTGCGGCCGAGGCGGCTTCAGCCTCGACTTCAGAGGCGCCTTCAGCCTCGGGGAAGAGGCAGGTGCACGCTGCCGTCGCTCGTGGAAGCGCGTGGAGAGCCTCAAGGTGAGCAGGGCGCAGAGAGCGAGCTGGTGGCGGGGAGACAGCGCACGGGGGCCATGCCGCGCTCCTTTCTGGTGGACTCGCTAGTACTGCGCGAGGCGGCTGAGAAGAAGGCGCCCGAGGGCAGCCCGCCGCCGCTCTTTCCCTATGCGGTG